TAGCATGATCACTGGTAGTACTATGAGTAAACTATTTTCAAAGGGTCAAACCATTATGGCTCATTTGTTCCTTATCCAAGCTACTGGTACTGAAGTTATAGAAGAGGTGAATAGTTCAATTCAAGGGGTACTCTCTCACTACACTGATGTGTTTGCTGAACCCAAATGTTTGCCACCTGCAAGATCCCTTGATCATATTATTCCCTTGAAACCAGGCACATCACCAGTATCTCTCAGACCTTACAGATATAACTACTATCAGAAGGAAGAACTGGAGAAACAAGTAGAAGAAATGCTCAGTAATGATATCATCCAACACAGCCAATCACCTTTTTCTTCACCAGCCTTGTTGGTTAAGAAGAAAGATGGAACTTGGAGGTTTTGTGTGGATTATAGGGGTCTAAATGAAATAACCATTAAAGATAAGTACCCTATACCAATAGTGGATGACTTATTGGATGAATTACAAGGGTCTGTGATTTTTTCAAAGGTGGATTTGCGAGCTGGATACCATCAGATCATGATGAAGCCTGAAGATGTGTTCAAAACTGCATTTAGGACCCATGTAGGTCATTATGAGTTCAAGGTAATGCCCTTTGGGCTCACCAATGCTCCTGCAACCTTCCAGGCACTGATGAATCAGGTATTTCGACCCCTACTCAGGAAGTTTGTCTTGGTGTTTTTTGATGACATACTAGTGTATAGTAGGTCCCGTGCAGACCATGTAGTTCACCTAAAAGCTGTGTTTGAAGTGCTGAGGAAACAATCGTTGTATGCTAAGAGATCTAAATGCTCATTTGGTCAATCACAAGTGGAGTATCTAGGCCATATCATTACTTCTGAAGGGGTGTCTACCGATCCAAGCAAGGTCCGGTCTATGAGTGAGTGGCCTACCCCTATCACCTTGCGAGCACTTAGAGGTTTTTTGGGGCTTACGGGCTATTATAGAAAGTATGTCCACAACTATGGCATCATTTGTAGGCCACTAACAGATTTATTGAAAAAGGATGCTTTTAGGTGGAATGAGGAGGCTGATCAAGCCTTTATAGCTTTGAAACATGCCATGTCCAATGCTCCTGTCTTAGCTTTACCTGATTATACTAAAGAGTTTATTGTGGAGACTGATGCAAGCTTAACTGGGATCGGTGCTGTTCTTATGCAAGGCAGTAGACCCATAGCTTACTTCAGTAAAGTTTTGGCTCCTAGACATAGAGGGAAATCCATCTATGAGAAGGAATACATGGCACTTCTTAATGCTGTAGACAAATGGAAACACTATCTTCAGTATAAGCACTTTGTGGTCAAAACCGACCATCACAGCCTAAAGTACCTTCTGGAGCAAAAAGTTACAACTGCTGTGCAACAAAAGGGTCTAACTAAACTGTTGGGGCTAGACTATGAGGTGCAGTATAAAAGGGGTGCTGAGAACAAGGTGGCAGATGCATTATCTAGGCAGTTTGAGGATAAGGAAGGTAGCATGCTCAATGCCTTAGCTGGTGTGTCATCTATTAGTGTTATGGTGCCTACTTGGGTGCAAGAAATTCATAAAAGCTATGAAGATGATCTTGAAGTCACTGCACTAATATCTGAGTTCTCCGTGGCACACCTGGGTCCCCATCTATTCCATTATTCTTCTGGTATTCTAAGAAGAAAGGGCAAGGTTTATGTGGGCAGCACTGGTGGGTTAAGGCAACAACTGATCACCACCTTTCATGATTCACCTGTTGGTGGTCATTCTGGACAGTTGGGTACCTATAAAAGGTTAGCACAAGTGTTTTACTGGCCTGGAATGAGGCAAATGGTAATACAACATGTGGAGGCTTGTGATGTGTGTCAACGAAGTAAAGATGAGAATGTGTCTTATCCAGGGTTATTACAACCTCTTCCCATTCCTGATCAAGCATGGAGGCATGTAAGCATGGATTTTATAGAAGGATTGCCTAAGTCGAGAGGCAAAGAAGTTATTCTAGTGGTGGTGGACAGGAGAACCAAGTTTGCTCACTTTATGGCCTTATCCCACCCTTATACAGCCAACACAGTAGCAACCAAATTCTTTAAGCATGTACATACGCTCCATGGGTTGCCTGAGTCCATTGTGTCCGACAGGGACAGTATATTTTTGAGCAATTTCTGGCAGAATTTATTTAGATTGCTGGGAACTCAGTTGCACTACAGCACTGCATATCACCCTCAAAGTGATGGCCAGACTGAGAGAGTTAATAAGTGCATCGAAAACTACCTCAGATGCATGACCTCTCATAGACCAACTCAGTGGAGGCAGTGGTTGCCTCTTTCCGAATGGTGGTACAACACAAACTTTCACACTAGTATTCAATGCACTCCGTTTGAAGCATTGTATGGCTATACACCTCCTCATTTGGCTATTGGCCCTATGCTAGACACCACAGTCCCTGCCGTGGAAGATGTAATCATGAAGAGGCAGCAACTTCAACAACTCCTCCTGGACAATTTATTGAAAGCTCAAGAGAGAATGAAAATGTATGCAGATCAGAGAAGAACAGAAAGAGAGTTCTAGGTGGGTGATTTAGTGTTCCTCAAACTCCAACCCTACAGGCAGACTTCATTAGCATTGCGAAGGAACCTCAAGCTTAGTTCCAAATACTATGGTCCTTTTGCTGTTGTTGAGAGGGTAGGACAGGTGGCCTACAAACTGGCTCTTCCAATCGAGTCCAAGGTCCATCCTGTTTTTCACGTATCACTTCTCAAGAAGAAAATTGGCAATAGAGTGGTGGTGCAGACCACTTTGCCTACTACCGGTGAAGATGGCCAGTTTCTTGTTAAGCCTCTCCAAATATTACAAAGGCAGATGGTTCGTACAGGTAGTGTGGCAGGGGTAAAGGTCTTGGTTCAATGGTCGAACCTTCCACCTGAAGAAGCAACTTGGGAGGACTATGCAGATTTGAAAGCCAAGTTTCCGGACTTTGACACCCATCCTTGAGGTCAAGGATGTTTTCCATGGGGCAAGGTGTAACAACTTCAGCTAACTTTCCAATAGCAGTTAGTAGTGGAAGGAGTATTAGTTAATATAGGAGATGCGGAAGGAGTGAATTGCAAATAATAAAGGGCCTGGATTAAAAGTAGCTAAATGAAGTTCAACGTCTGAGATTAGTCGAGAGGTTATCATATACACGTTGAGGGAAAGAGTGGAGACGTGAAAAGAAACTGGTATCCTACAATTCTCAACTTCTTCCTTGCTTCTTCTCTCTTCTTTTCAACTCCGTTCTAATCCTGTCTTCTTCTTCTTTCGTTTCAGATTCAGATCAAGGAACTTCATCTAGGCTATATTTATTTAGTTCTGTTTCAGTTCTGTAATTTAGCTCAGTGTATTGTTAGATTGTTAGTTTCAATTTCAGATAATCGAAAATTGTTCCACAAACATTGACTGTGTTCTAGTTTAGTTACTTTTCTATTGAATTTCGAGTTAAATTCATAACATATCTTCTCTCCGTTATCGTCAGATTTCCCAATTTGATGGCTTAAATTCATAGCCAATGTTATAATTATTCCTATTGGTTGAGATTACTATATAACTTTCCTTTCTACATGGCTGCAAAGGCACAGATGACCTTCCTTACAAACTTAACATTTAGTTTTATTCCTTCAAGTCATCTGAAATGTAATCTAATGTGAATAACATATCTATGATTTATTGAGAACCTCCCGTACGTAATTACAGTTGTACGTCATCTAGCCTCATAATATAAAGTTTAACCATACAATCTCACAACTTCTATGGTTGAAAATGAAAGTTGGTGCTCAACATGTCTGATTGCATAAAGTGTGCACCTTTTTTGCTGAAGAATTTGATGAAGCAACTATATGCACATTTTTTTATATTCACTGAAATGCATAGCTCATGATTGTATTCATATCTTTTACATTCTATTGCAGGGATGACAATATTCCCAGTTTATTCATCTAAAAGTACTTGATGAAGAAGTTGAATCTTTCTTACGAAGATGAGGTAAGTAACTTTTTGTATTTTTGGCAATTTAGCAATCAATAAATGTCATTAACATTTATTTACAATCCTACCTATTTTGGTTTGAGGGCTGAAAAATTATGTAGGAGCATGAATTCATGTAGTTTATTATTCTGTTGGGTGTAGTGTTGGTCCTGGTAGTTTTAGAACTTGGTTTTCAAGAGAATTGATTGTGTATGAAAATTTAAGGGTTGATGCCAAGGGGGCCAGAAAGTGTATCAGTATTGAACCCCCAATTTCAGAATGAACTAGCTCAACCTTTTTGTGCTTTGACCACACAACTTTGAATTAAATGAACTGTTATAACTTTACATAATATAGGGATGAGGAAATGGCCAATGGTATTGCTTGTTGTGAAGTGGGAATTTGGAAGCTAAATACTTAGTTTTCCTTTAATCTTTTTTTTTAATCCTTTCAAGTGTTCTCTTTTTAGGAATTGATGAAGAGAAAGTTGTTAATAAGGGCATGGCTTTAAGATTTACTGTCATTTTGACTTAAGTGAATGCCAATACGAGTAGGCAATTTCCAAAGTTTTGTGTTTTTAGCATCTACATGAACTACACACTTTTTATACATTAAGTATGCTCTATCTCTTCTATATCTATGTTATTAATCAGGCTTGTCTAGAAGGTACTTGTTCACTAGGTTGCTCGAACTCTTCAAAAGTATTGTCACACTCATGTCAAATTATCCAAAAAGCTATTGAGAGTACCATATCGGATATGGACGGGTAATTGGTCGCCTTGGATGGTCTTGGACAATCCTCACCCTATGAGCTAGCTTTTGGGGTTGAGTTAGGCCCAAGATCCATTTCATTACACATGCACTACTTTTGGAAGATCCGATATGCACCTATTGACATTTTTGAAGAGTATGTTGCTCGGACTCTTCAAAAGTATTGGCGCACCCGTGTTGGATCATCCTAAAAGACTCTACTTTTGGAGGATTTGAAGTAAGGTTTTCAAAGGAGAATATTCTTGGTGCGGGAGGATATGGCATGGTCTACCACGGAAATTTGATTAATGGAACACTGGTAGATATTAATAAGTTCCTCAACAATCTGTGAGTTGATAAAATCAAATCATATGCTTTCCTTAATGATCCTTTTGTTTTAGTTGCCAACTTGAGTTTGAATTTAAGATCTTTGTCCCAGAGAAAGAGTTTCAAGTGGAGGTTGAAGCCATTGGCCACGTACGTCACAAAAACTTGGTTAGCCTTCTAGGATACTGCATTGAAGGAATGCACATGTATTTCCCCATTTGGAAGTCCCTGATAGACCTATACCTTTTCTGGGTACTAAATATGAAGCTTTGGATTGTTCAATTACTTTCATGCGCATGTGAAGTAATTGAATGAGTATTCTTGTTTAGCATTTGAAAATGCTTTGTTCTAAAGCATCACCACAAGATGTTGGTTTACGAGTATGTCAACAATGGAAATTTGGAACAGTGGCTTCATGGAGCCATGCGACACCACATGTGTCTCACTTGGAAGGCTAGGATGAAGGTTCTTCTTAGGACAGCTAAAGCGTAAGGTTATTCAGTTAAGATAAATCTATTTTGGGACAGCTAAAGCGTAATTTCTCCTTGTGCTATCATTTCTTGCAGTCTTGCCTATTTAAATGAGAATATTGAGCCCAAAGTTGTTTATCGAGACATCAAATCAAGTAATATATTGATTGATGATGACTTCAATGGTTAGGTCTCTGATTTTGGTCTGGCCAAACTGCTTGGTGCCGGTAAAAGTCATATCACTACTCGAGTCAACCTTTGGGTTAGTTTCTTCCTTCTGCTTCTTTTGATTTTATTCCAGCTCGAGTATTCTTGATGTTCTGGTCTTCTGGACTTTACAATCTTCAACTTCTGGTGTCTTGTTTTACTATTTTGGTGTAAAAACTTGAAGTAGAAGTTTGCATTATTATGTCATTTCACACTCTTTCAAATATTCGACAGTTATGTGGCTCCTAAATATGCAAATATTGGTCTCTTGAATGAAAAAAATGATATTTATAGCTTTGGGGGTAGTGTTGTTAGAATCGATCACACAGGAAGAGATCATGTGGACTATGGCCGTCCTGCCCAAGAGGTTTGTTATCCTTCATACCTTATCTTAAGATCTAATTAGCACACTTGATGTAAAAATCTTATCTGCATCCTCATTATAGAAAAAACTGTAAAACTTATTGTGCCCAGATCTTTGGCAGAATAGATCTTTATATTAATGCTCGCTTTGCTGGTTTTATGATATTTGTCTCATTGTCATTTTCTGTTAAGTTTCCCTTGAGTTTTCTCTGGATTATTACTTGTTCTTGATATACCATGTACCATAACAAATGTTCACACACTATTAATCTTTGAGAAGGATATCTGAACCTGGTAAGTGGTGACACATATGTGACTAGCTAGTGCCTTTTGGTATATGTTGATTACCATTCACTTAGTAGAAAGGGGCTGTATTTTTAATGTTCTAGCCTATTAAACATTAAGCACCATTTCATTTGAAATAAGCAAGCATATGTGTTTTTCTAGGGTTGGAGATTATGGTTAGTGTTGTTAAGGTTCTACAATGAGTATCTTAACTTCAACTCATAGTCCATTCTATTTTTTGATCTTTTATTCTAAAATCTATGCTGTTATTTTCTTTCTTCTCCACTCTTCGGAGATTTGCTCTTCTCGAGTTGCTGCTTCGATTTCCAAGTTAACTATTTCCTTCAAAATTCCACCATATTTTGTTCTTCGAGTTTTGAAAATGTGGACTTACATCTGCTCTCCAGATGTAGGTATCTTAATCGTCAAGTCGTTTGAGCTACATGTAGAGTTCTTAGTCAATTAGCTTAGTGGGGAAAGCTAACCTTTCGAATTCAATTAACCATAAATTTTGATATGTACTTTCTCTTTTCACATTTAGTTGTCTACTTCTAATTTTACATGGTTCTTAAGAAACAATGATTAATATGAGTATTGTTTTATCATAATACTCATATTAATTGATATCTATACTTGGATCTTGAAAAATGATTTGGGGACGAAGTAATTAATGTTGATGGTAAATTAGGATTTTTTGTTTTGGTCTCTTTTTGATATGTTAAAAGTAACAAGTATAATCGAAAATCTATTTTTTTTTTAAAATAATGGACAAGTAAAAGTAAACGGAGGGAATAACAAGCAATAATAAATTTAACATCATTAATTAATGTGTAGTTTCTTCGAATCTTTGTCTGAACTCTGAAGCGAACAATATTTTAGGTTAGCCTAAGAGATGGACTACAAAATGAGAAGACTCATTGAAATTGGGCCTGACCTTATTAAATTTTATTTTACATAAGTCATAGTCCTTGACATTATTTGTGTTGTCATATTAATTGTCTCTGTCCAATGGTGCTTCAATTATCTAAAATAGAACTTGTTCAAGAAATTACCCATCTATTCAATCGGGGATTTCTGCCCTTAAAAAGGCCCTGTTTTCGTTTATCAATTTAATCTATACCTATTATCCATCTATAGTTCGAAAAAATTCCCAAACAATTAATTATTTAAGTACTTTCTTTTATTTTGTGGATATTTATCCAAGTTGAGTGCTATGTTGTTGTTTCCTGGACTTATTACTTTTAAATGTTGATTAAGTTAAAGGTTCTGAAGACAGTTGTAATATGGATAGCTGTGAAAATGGCATCTCCAAAATTGAGACACAATAATTGTCTTCTTACTAAAACAAATAATGCTAACATCTCTTGTATGGTTAATCTTGCTATTACCGCCTCTTGTTCTATTTATCGAATAGGTTTAACATACCAGATTTGCTATTTTTTTTCCTAAATGCAGTACATTTTGTCAAAAGCTGAACTATAAACTAAGAACGTTTTATTGTTGTTCCCTGGATTAAAGCTAATTCTTTGGGTCCTTATTTGAATGTGAACAAGTCCTTCAAGTTCTTAAATTCAGCTCTATTTTGTCAAGAACTGCATTATAAAGTGGCTGTTGCTATTATGCTATTTCAAAATACTTAACAGTTTACTCCCTCCAAAACACCTTTTGCATTAGTGTGACATTTTTTTCAAGTGAATCCAAAGCATATTATTGTTACTAATGATTTGAATATGTTAAACTTTATTATAAAAAGAAAAAAGTTATTATCCGTTAAATCCAAAGATTGTACTCCAACAATTTCATTGAACGAAATTTGTTTAATTTTATAGAAATGATAATTTATAAAATGGTAGATTTGCAATTTTTTAATTTTTTTTTAAAAATAGATCTATTTTATTATTCTATTCATTTTATTTTACGTAAAGAAATTTGAGTAAATTAAATAAAATTTGCATTGACTAGCATGATGCATGATAAGTTTTTCGAATAAAAACTATCAAAGTTTAGGATGGTGCGTATTAAAAACGAAAGCTATTTGTATTAAAAAAAATGGACAAAGACCAAACTTGATAAGTTTGTGAATACTTAAAGGACAAAAATTGGTAAATTTATAGTTAAGGGACTAAAATCGGTAAGTGTATAGTTAAGGGATTAAAGCTGACAAATTTTTGAATAGTTAAAGGATTAAATCCGTTAAGTGTATAGTTCAGGGATCATTTTAGACCTACTCTTATAGTTGAGGGACTATTTATGTCATTTACTCCAATTTTTTGCTTCTTATGGCCTCACATCTTTCGAAGAGTCCGGAGGAACTGAATAAATTTCCCATGTGTACTGCAAACATCTTTTGCCATTGTTTAATTCAATAGGTGAAATTTTGGTGTGTGCCCCAATTGCACATGTCCAATCAAATACACGTATTGATAACATGTGTAAGTGATAAACTTCTTAAGCATCGTCTCTTGCCTATTTTGGTTGCATTAGAGGAAATATTTGAATTGTAGTGTTTGTAACTATATGACCTCTATATAAGTAGATAAATCAACAAAACTTTGCGCTAAAATATGGATATTGCTCTTACAAAAAAAAATATATTATCAATGGAACATGTTGGGCCGTGCAGAGCACGGCTTCCCTTATCTAGTATCATATATATTTGTTTAGAACACACAAAAAATTATTTAATTAATACTTGTATTTAATTAACTCAGTATTTATTTAATTTGTAATAAATGACGTGTGAAATTCAAATTGTGTGTGATGTACAGTGTAAAATTATTGTTAATTTTCATAAGAACATTTTTAGTAGTTGGTCGTGTTTAAGTTCATAGCGTATTTTTTAAAATTATGGGTTGTGGTATAGTATTTTGTTGTAATTATAATTAATTTTTACATATGCCTGGTCCTGCAGTTTAATTATTTTGTTCCATTATAGCAGTTGACTTTTCGTCACCTAGTTCATTGGTCATAAATTTTGAAAATAATTTTTCATGACCTAATCAATCTCTATGTAATCCCTACACAACATAACTTATAGTGTAGTCTAATTAGGGTGTGTTCAGTATGGAGGAAAATATTTTTCTTCTAAATTTGTTGTTGATGAAAATTTTTAAAGAATATTTTTTTAAGAAAATAAATTTCTTAAAAATGAGAAAAATGACTTTCCTGCAAGTGAAAGTTGGAAAAACAAGTTTCACCAGCGATATTCCTCGTTGACTATCCCCACCACTCATAATATCTGCCTAAATTACATACAAATGTTACAAAAAAAAAAATCACTTAAATACCTAAATATAAGAAATTAAAATAAGTAAAAAACCAATTTATTTATTTATTTAAAAGAAAAACAACTAAAAACATGAAAAACATTTTTTTTTTCCCCTCAGAGGTAATGGACGACCTACATTTTTTCACTTGTCCAATTCAATCGCAGGCTAGCAAATAATTTTGCCTTGATGTGTTGTTGTTATTATCAGAAATGTTTTATTATTACATTATTGTAAATTGCAATTAATATAACGATAAATATCGGCTTCCCTCAGTTTGTTGGCATTTCATTTTCTGAATTTAATTATTCAATATATATAACATGATTGTCATTTGTCGGTTTCATAATTGATCGATCGGTAGAAGGATAGTTGATTTGTTATTGATGGCTCGATATTTATATTAATTTGTTTTATATTTGTAAATAACTAGATAATTATTTGAACCACACTTGCAAAATATGCCATTCAACTGATTATGTAATATTCAAAAAAATTCTCATGACCGACATAAGTTGTGTTGTAATGACGAGATTGTTCCACTCTTAATCAAAGGTCTTAGGTTTGAGCGTTGGATATGACAAAAAAATTTGTTGAGAGCGCCACACCTAAATAAGCTCTACATCATGCGTATGTGCAATCTAGATTTAATTGAAACTCCACTATGAGCTTCGAATACGGAGTAGGAAACAAATGTTTATTTTTTAAAAGAAAAACGTGGGACAATATAGTGGCCATCCGCATGTCCCCCTCCAAAACAAAATAAGGACCTATCCATATAGCTTGCACCATATAAAACAAAATACTAAAACCTCTCAAATCACTACTTACGCTTATTATAAATAATAATAATAAGCGCCACACCTAAATAAGCTCTACAACATGCGTATGTGCAATCCAGATTTAATTGAAACTCCATTATGAGCTTCAGATACGGAGTAGGAAACAAATGTTTATTTTTTAAAAGAAAAACGTGGGACAATATAGTGGCCATCCGCATGTCCCCCTCCAAAATAAAATAAGGACCTATCCATACAGCTTGCACCATATAAAACAAAATACTAAACCTCTCAAATCACTACCTACGCTTATTTATTATAAATAAATAATCATGTTTTAAGCAATCTAGTAACACTATTAATGTACGAAAGTTGGATACATCAATTTTTAGTCAGAAGTTTCAGATTCAAGTCCTAACACTCATGAATATAAAAAAAATTCTAAATTAGAAATAATTAAAATTAAAAATATTATGGTTGTTAAATAGCTAGTTCCATTTGTCCAATAAAAAAATATCCTACAATTGAGAAAATTAAAAGGATATTCAACTAATATGGAGTAATATAATTGATGAAGTCTCAAATTTGTGGACCACGCCAAAGGATGTGTTGTAGTAGAGGAGATTGCTCCTCTCTTAATTAGAGATCTCGAGTTCAGGTCCTTGATATGAAAAATTTCTTGATAGGCTAGCGCTACCCTCCGAAAAAAGGTTCTATCCAACACAAATTCAAATTAATTAGACTCCAATACAGATATTGACTGATCGAGTGGGAAAAAAAAGGTCTCAATTTGTGGTCAAGTTGGTGCCTGATCCTTTTCTTACAGGTCATAAATATTTTCCTGGTCACATTTCATTGACTTTTCAAAATAAAATAAAATAATAAAATATTGACCTCCAGAAAAATATCTTGGATTGCTCTTAACATTATTGAGGTCTATAAATTGATAATTTAGCATTGCTGAAAATCAATTAATTATTTTCTTATACTCAAAAAAATGTCATCATCTGGTTCATTCGAATTGCAACCTCCAATTAATGGTAAATTCATCACAATTCTCAGCATCGATGGAGGTGGCATTAGAGGATTAATTCCAGCAACTATTCTTGAATATCTTGAATCTCAACTTCAGGTAATCGCATAAACTTCTCTATCCTCATTCGAATTTTAACCTATTCAACTGAACTCAATATTTCATTCTCTACGTGTTAATTTCTATAGGAATTAGACGGTGAAGATGCTAGGCTCGCAGATTACTTTGATATAATTACAGGAACAAGCACGGGTGGCCTTGTTACCGCTATGCTAACAGCTCCAAACAAAGACAATCGTCCTCTATTTGCTGCTAAGGATATAAAGCCCTTCTATCTTGAACATGGTCCTAAGATATTTCCACAAAATAATATGTAAATTTTCTAATTGATTTTTTTTTTCTTCTTGTAAAAATAATTAATCACTATTAATATTATTGTTTTTTCATTTTGTATAGGATACTGATTGGATCAATTATAAAGGGATGGAAATTTCTAACAGGACCAAAGTATAATGGGAAGTATCTTCATCAAGTCATAAAGGAGAAATTAGGGGAGACTAAATTGCATGAGACTTTGACTAATGTTGTTATTCCAACTTTTGATATCAAGAATATACAACCTACAATTTTCTCCACTTTTGAGGTCTCTTTCTCCACTATTTTTCGTTATTTTTTAATCAGAGGTCTCAAATTAGTTTGATCCGTTTAATCTGTTTAACAGGCCCAAAAACATTCAATAATGGATGCTAAGCTTTCCGATATATGCATCGGCACATCTGCTGCTCCAACATATCTTCCAGCACATAATTTTCAGACCCAAAATGAAGATGGCAAATTTCATGAGTTCAATCTTATTGATGGTGCTATCGCAGCTAACAATCCGGTATTAAATAATTTAATCTATTTTATGTCCCATTAAAATAACTGAACTTTACTTGCTATGTATATATAATGATGACCTCACTAAACTTTACCAATTGAGTACTATGTTTTGTATTAAATTAAACGTCATATAAAGTTACTAAATCTTACGCTATAATGACAACATCTATTCATCAAGATGACGTTACTGTTATAGTAAGTAAAGTTTGTGAAATTAACTCGAAATTTATATGATGTTGTTGGCTTTTGCAGACCTTTATTGCTATAAGTGAAGTGACCAAACAAATATGCGAACAAAACCCATATTTCAAAAATTTCGACGAAATGAAGCCCACTAATTATGGGAAATTTTTGGTCATCTCCATTGGGACTGGATCAGCAAAATTGGAACATAAATATGATGCTAAAATTGCATCAAAATGGGGTGTTTTTGGATGGCTAACTGGTGGAGGCTCAAATCCAATTATTGATGCATTTGCTGATGCTAGTGATGATATGGTTGATTATCATATTTCTGTTGTTTTTCAATCTATTTCTTCTCAAAAACAATATCTTCGGATTCAGGTACTATATATTCCACTCCTAAATATTCTTTTGATTTTAAAAAAATAACAAACTTTCCCTTTTTAGTTTGTTTAAAAAAAAATGATCCTTTCAATTTTTTTAGCAACACTTTAATTTCAGTTTTCTAGGTGACATGTTTAAGGCCCCAAGATTAAAGAGTATTTTGGTACATTTGACATAACTTTAATTTAGGACCACAAGATTGAAATGTTCCTTTATTTTATTTTCTTAAATTTTGTGTCAAATCAAACTAAATCATTCTTTTTTAAACGGAGAGAGTATCAAATGTGCTTGATCAGAAACAATAAGGACCAAAATCAAAATTTGTTAATATTTGAGGGATTAAAAGTGCTAATTTCCTAATTGAAATTGTTTCTAGATATTTGAAGTTATTGAAAAAGATTCATTTTAAACGAAGCCTTGTTATTTCGATTACTCGAGTATTCGTCAAATGAGAAATTCAAGGAGAGATAAATGATAGCTTAGAAATATGCTCTTATGATCTAGGTATAATACTTGAGGGTGAAGCGGTTTTTTTATAATGGCAAATTCATATTCAGAATTTGATTTTGAGACGTATAGAGTATCTATCACTTTATAGAAATGCTAGATATTACTGCGAGTTAAGATAGGTGTATTATAATTATATATGTTGCTCAACAATGTTAATTAGGATGACACATTAAGTGGAGCAGACTCCTCTGTTGACATATCAACCAAAGAGAACATGGACAAATTGGTTGAAATTGGGACAAATTTATTGAAGAAACCAGTTTCAAGGGTAAATTTGACGACAGGTCTATTTGAACAATTAGACATAAATGCTGGCACAAATGAAGAAGCTTTGAAAAGGTAATATTATTTAACTCTCCTTTGAATATTATTAATCAATATATTATGCTATATTAATTATTGAATTGCCATATTATTTTTCAGGTTTGCAAAGTTGCTTTCTGAAGAAAAAAGAATTAGGAATTCCAAACCACCTCCTAAAGATAAATCGTAAAGGCAAAATTGTGATTTGGTATTATATGAATCCTAGATTTTATAATTTTGAAATAGTATTTGCAATTCAATTTTTGTATTCTAGCTTTTGATTGTTGGACCAATAATATTCAATAGAGTGTTATGAAAAAATATTTAATAATAGATGGAAATATGTAAAATTATTGTTACATGCTTGGTTATTTTGTAAGGGCAAAAAGCATCAAAGTTTCTTGGCTTTTTTATGGAGTACCATCCAAGCTAGAGCCAAATTTAATAAAGAGGCTTTTTACTTCTTCTTTTTTGGTTTTCCACCCGGTGTTCGGAGCCCACATTGGAGCTCCGACTAAATTCGGACCGCGCACTGCAAGGCCTATTCGGGGGTGGCGCTCCCAAACAGGATTTTCTCCATACCCAAGGCTCAAACCCAAAATCTTTGGTTAAGGGTGAAGCACTCCCACCAATGCACCACAACCCATTATGATGGCTTTTTACTTATTTAAGAAGAAATTATACTAACTTGATTTATGTTGTCCGAATTATTGCTTATTATTTATTTATATATATATATATATATATATATATATATATATATATATATATAATAAGCCACAATGCAAAGATTTTTATAGTATTTAGTTACATTGTAATTATCTTGTTAGCTTTCAACCAAAAGGAGTACTTCTTTTAAATAATAAATATGTCATTGTATGAGCTATTTATTACTCATTCCTTTTGAATTTGTTAATCTTATTTTAATCTGACACATAGTTTACGAAAGTAAATTAGATTTTGAGAAAAAACATTAAGTGATACTTGAAATTGTCTCAGATTTTCAAAAAGACACCTTAACTTTGCGTGCGTCCTATTACCCCACAAAACATTCAAAATCACAATAAATACACATTTTTTACACAATATTTCCACTTTGGACAAAAATATCCTTCGAATGTGCAATTTCTTAAAAACAAAAAGTCGGACCCATTATTGATGTATTCAAGGATGCTTTGATAATTTCCTATGATGAATTCATTTTGTTTGTTTCTTTTAAATTTATTTTACTATACTAAATAATTCTATAAAATATTATGAATCACGATAATTAATTACTTAAGTATTTAAAAGATATAAAAATATACAATAGATCTGATTGACTCTTCAAATTTTTTTATCGGTGACACATAAATTGGGACAAATGAAATAATATATATTATTTGAAAATTTCTTACAAAGTACTATAAATTACAGTAATTAACAGCTAGAAATATTTCAAAGACAAAAAAAATTGATTGAATCTCAAAATATTTTTAGTACTACATAAATTGAGAAAGAAGAAATAACCTCTATTATTTGAAAATGGTGTAAAAGTATTACAAATCATATAATAAGAATTAACAATTTAAAATTTTAAAAGACTTTAATGGTTTATATTTATTCTATTTCCACTTTGGACAAAAATATCCTCCCAATATGCATAATTTTTTAAACAAAAAGTGGGACCAATTATTGATGTATTCAAGGATGCTTTGGTAATTTTCGTATGATGAATTCGTTTTGTTTGTTGTTTATTTTTTTTTAAATAATTGTATAAAATATTATAAATCACAATAATTAGTTACTTAAATATTCAAAATATATAAAAATATGTAAAAGATCTGATTAACTCTTCAAATTTTATCGGTGACACATAAATTGGACAAATGACATAATATATATTATTTGAAAATTACTTAGAAAGTACAATAATTTACAGTAATTAACAATAGAATATTTTAAAGACAAAAAAAATTGATTGAATCTCGAAATTTTATTAGTACCACATAAATTGAGAAACAAGAAATAACCTTTATTATTTCAAAATTGCGTAAAAGATATTACAAATCATACAACAATAATTAGCAATTTAGAATGTTAAAAGACATAAAAAATTTTTTACCATAGTTAACAATAATTAAAAATTTAAACTATTTTAAATTAATATTGAAGTTTGATTAACTCTTTAATTTTGTCTTTGTCACATAAATTGAAATAAAAAATGATACATATTGGGCCCGTGCTAGCACGGGCTCTGATGTCGTGTATATATATATATGTTGACACCCAATTTTGACCCTCCCCGATAATAATTAGTTTTTGAGCTTCTTGATTCTCAAACGATTTAGAATAATTAGCTTTATAAAGTTCCAAATAGTTTCAAGGATTTTAAGTAATCTCAATCGGTTTTTATAGTACTTCGAATAACAAATATATTTCATATAATTATATATGTAATTAGTATATTTTATAAATATTTGAAAATCATATCTAAAGGTTTCTACATTGTTTTAGGTTATACTTTATTAATTTAGTCTAGTATAATTTATAGTTATAATTTTGAGTATTGAAATCGGTTAGTTTATGTTCAAATTAATTATTTTGTTTCGTTTAAAATTTAGAAGCTCGTTAATTAATTTATATTAATTTTAATAATTAGCCAAGCTTACTAAACTTGATCAATTTGGCTAAGGCCTTAACTTCCATCGGCCATGATTTCAATTTTCTCAATTGCCATATTGGCCAAGCCTCATCTCCAATTTTATATCATTTTTTGGCCCAATCTTGTATCAATTGCAGCCCAATATAATGGCAATCAGCAACCCCCAATTCTGTCCAATTATTCCCAGCCCACCAACAGACAACAATACAATACTCAACCGCCCAACCCACCTTTTTCCATAACAACAACAATAGATATAACGTACAACAGAAATACACCGACCCCATCCCTTTTTTCTTTCCAATTCTATGCAATATCACAGCAGGCTAAAGCAGCAGCAACGTCTCCTTCGCCAAAGGTTCGTACAGTAGCAACGTGCCTCGTTCTTGTGGCCCTGAGATGAAGCCACGTCGCGCCCAAGGACAACAAAATCGATCCCAACCATTTATCTCCCCTTTCCTCTTACGGAATGGGGCAAATTTTCAGAGAAAAGGATGTTTGGCTTAAAGGGTGAATATTTTTTGAGTTTTGAAATCGGAAGGGGCCCTCTTTTGTCCAGATTTTTGACCTGAATTTTCCCCCCGAATCAGCCCCTAAAAAATCCCTATATGTATTCCCCTCTTATTAGCTGTGGAGGGAGGTTTTTTTTGGCTTTGATTTTGGGAGTGGGCAAAGATTCTCTTTAAGAAATTTGAGCGTTTCTTTGGTGGAGATTTTTATTTTCCTTGGGTGTTCTTCATTGAGAGACGTTTTAGAAATAACCATCAAGATATAGCTAATATAAATATACTTCAAAAGCATAGGAGGTAACTAATTTTCAGAATTTTGGGTTCAATGTTCTGCCCAGATCTTCTAATCGCTGCCAGCGCTTGAATTTCGTGGTGGAAGTCGATCTTCTAATCGTTGTCCCTGCTTACTGCACTTCGAAAGGTAACTCCTCTCTGCAATGCTCTTTCCTCCTCTTCTTTCCATTTTAGAACAGTGTTCCGACGATGGGAGATTTTTCATTTAGTTTGTGTTGGATGTTAGTTGCTATTTGGTCGATATATGATGTATATGTTCTTGGACTTTTCATCAAGTTGTTTGCAATATGAGTTAAAGCTTTGGATATGCGTTATTATCTCTCTGTTATTATATTTGAAGTTTTGCTCTGTCGATTTTTCTCCTTGAGCTTGTTTCTCGAATGTCATGGAATGTGTCTTACTGCTTAATATTCGACATTTTGGGGGTCACTAGTTGTGTCGGCTACTGTTTTGAGCTCTTAGATCGAATTTGTCGCTCTCCATTTTGATTCTTTACTATTCCGTCTTATTCGAGTCTATTTTAAAGGGTAAGTTTCTTTCTTTCTCTTTTTATTTTTTTACTTGCAATATGTTCTATTTCTTCTCGTTTTCTACTCTCAAGTGCGACACTTATGTCTCACTCTTTTGCATTTTGAGGTGTTGTGATCTGAAAATTTGTGTGTCATTTTATTTGTTGTCAACCAATATTGAGTCGTTTATTCTAGTTAATGTATTATTCGCTCGACATCGGTCTTCCCTGTTCCTCTTTCTAAAAAAAATAATAATAATAATATATATATATATATATATAAAATAAAATAAAAATATAAAAATAAAATAAAATAAATTAGACAATATCTTACCAATTTTTGCTCATCCGTCGTTATGGTCTTAACCTTGAAGCATGCTTAATATTTGAATTTAAGTTATTTCCAAGAATGGTGCTTGGATTGTTTTGTTTTCTCTCTCCTTAATCACTTTGGAGTTTGTTTTCTTATTGCTTAGAGGTAATATGCTCACCCTTTCTTTGGTTTGATAATTGAGGTTCAAATAGTCCACTGCTTGCAAGTTTGAATCGGTGCAGAGCTTGATTTTTCTTGTCTTATCCTCATGTTTTAGTCTTGTTAAAATTTAAATCTTTTTTTTTAGATTATTTGAAGCAGGAGTTTATTTGATTTTGACTATTGCATGCATATTATGTTTATTTTTTAATGCAAGGTTAATTTTAATGGTTTAGCAACCGTCGAAGGTTTGATGCTTAGTATGTCTAGATTTTTATTTTTTTTAGCATGTTGTCATGCTAGTCAAATTATCACAATCTCATTTATTTCATTTAGCTTACAATAATTTCTAGTAGGGAATATGTTGCCCCCCCCCGGGTGATTAGTCAAATGGGTTTCTTTTTTAGTCAAATATTGTGGCTTCTTTTTTCTTTAAACAATAGTGCATAAAGTATGGTTTGACAGTGATTCTTGACTTTCTTTGAATAATAGTGCATACAACATAGTTTATGGATGTCTTATTTGTTTACTGTACGATATCTTTCTAACTCTTTATACTCTTTGCTTGCATGTGAAATCTGCCCGAGTTCGCCATTAACTCACTCTGTTCCCTTACATTTCAAAAGAGTGTAAATTTCATATATGACATATATTATAGTATTATTTTTAGGCTATAACAATAGATTTAGACTTTCAAGCTATAGCATTAAAAATTTCAGGTTATAACAAATTCACAAATAAAAGAAATGTTTTTATTAATTCGAAAAAAGTTTAAAAAAAAGGGAATTATAGATAATAAAGTAAAAAACTGAAAGTGTGGCCTGTAATTTAATTTGAATTTATTGTAGATAATTAATGATTAACATAAAATAAGGGATTCAAACAAATTAACAATATTTTTTATCC